TGCAGTGCAGTGGGGGATGGAGTGGTGGGCGGTGGGTGCCCGAGGGCATGTGGCCCAGGGGGTCTGTGGCTTGCCCTGGTGTGGCCTGCACAGTGTGCAGCTGCCACTGGGGTGGACCATGGAGTGCACGGCCCCTGAGGCTTGGAAGCTGGACAGCAATAAGATGACCAGGAGGGGTTAAAGAAATAAAAATGAGAGGACAGCCAAGAGAAAAAGTCACACTGTTTAAAATATGACAACCAAGGTGTAGGGAGACGGCTTCTGAAGTAGGACTACAACGCAAAAGGTAGATGTCTGTGATTAATAAGGGAAGCAGCACGAGGACTTGGCATGAGAATGCACATAGTGGAAGGAGTATGGAAACAAATCAAAGTATGGGAAATCGTTTGAAGCGGGGACAATGGAAGAACAGCAGATCTGGGTCAAAGGCCACAATAGAGAGGAAAAAAAGACCAGTTAGGAGGAAATTAAGACATTAGGAAAATACAACTACGAAACACGTGTGAAATAACAGCAGAACATCCAATCTGAGAAGACTGAAGCTACTAGACTGACTCTTCTAGCCATGACAATCCAATTCAGGACTCGATGGGAAATGGGAGAGGAGGTGGTTTTCTAGAGCTGTAAGAGACAGAACCACTTTTAAAAGATCCTTTAAGGGCCTGATAGGACTAAATACAAGCTACTGAAACTGTATACTTCATTTTGGCTCCTAAACATCTGTAAGTGTTGCATCTCCTGCTGGCAGTGCCAACCCCATAAGTACTGCTAAACAACAGGCACTGCTGATTTTTCCCCCCGCCCATTGCCTTGAATCTAAGCAGCAGCACTGTTCTAACCAACTTAACTCTGCTTCTGGGAGACCACACTATAATGAATACCTCCTTTCCCTAACATATGAAAGGGTTAGCACTTTTACAGCTAATTACTGGGGGCTTCCTTCCCAGTCACAAACAGTGCCAAACGTTGACCAGCAACAGCTTAAGTGCCACATGTTAAACATTATTACAGTGATTGGTTCCATATTTCAGGGATTTGGGAGCGGGGCTAAAGGGTCTGGGGGCACAGGTGGTGTTCTCGTCGATCCTCCCAGTCTCAGGCTATGGGCCGAGGAGGGAGAGGAGGATCCATGTGGTCAACCAAAGACTGCGGCGCTGGTGTCGTCGGGAAGGCTTTGGCTTTCATGACCACAGCCCGCTCTTTGGCGAGAGGCAGCGAGTTGCTGGGAAGAGATGGCCTCTCCACCTCTCTCCCCTAGGGAGGAGGCTCTTCTCAGCCAGACTGGCTGACCTGCTCCACCGGGCTTTAAACTAAGCCCGCTGGGGGAC